AAAACTGCGGGAACTCTGCAAAAAACGCATCTTCGCACGGGCAGCCCGTGCGTTGGCCAATTATTTGATGTAGACTTGAACCACCAGAGCAAAACGATGATGAAAAATAAGAAAGTTTTTTTTAGTACACCTAGATCAGCTATAATCCCCAATTTGATTCTCCGTCTGTGTCGCTAACAACTTTCGGCAAAATGTAGAATAAAATGAAAAAAAGCAGACTCTAGTGACAAAACAATGAAATTACTCAAAGGCAGTTCACGTCCTTCGCCTTCAGTACGGTGCTAATACTATCCAGAATAACTGTGATTTCAAAAAATTTATCATTGCAAAAAATCTTTGAAGAAGCTATTGTTTTTTTTTTGCTCGTCTCGAATTTCCTGATTTGCTGCCACAAAGATAATTTTGTTTCCAAAGATTTAGAAGTGTTTTTAAATTTATTTTAAAGATTATTTGCAGTTAGAATTGAAAAGCTCACCGAAATAATTGAAACTCTTTTCGAGCAACTTCGGTGAGGATTGTCAAATTACAAGTAAGCATCTCTTTTACTTCGTCTCTGTACTCATCAAAATAACGATAGCTTTCGTAAAATTCACCACTTGTCAACAAGTACTTGCAATCTTTATCCGACAATCTAGAAATAATGTAATTTTGCGTACAATCGTTATCCAGTAACCCAAAAATGAGATAAATGAGGAAAACTTTTACTTCCCGTACTTTCCATCATCTCACATCCGAGCGTTTTTTCCAGTACCTTGGAAACCGCTTATTGCATCTTGCCAAATTCATTCATTCAATTGTCTTGCCGAGGCACACAAATGTAAAACACGATAAAACAAATTGTAAAAGTAGGCGAAAACCTAGCTGACCACGAGCTTCTCAGAAAAAGTCGAGGATCCAGAAATCTATATATTTATGCGCATACTGTAATCACTTTTAATACTCTGGTCAACGCTCTATCATTGTCGCATTTCTTCTAGCCGTTAAGACAGCTGGCAACTTCTCCATTCTCCTCTGTTTTGGGCCCCTCTTGGGCGAGCAGTGCAGCATTCAAAAGGTACGGTTGCCGCGTGTTTGACTGCTCCGAAAATTTCAGAAATCGCATTGTTTTGACCCTAACTATTGATGTGCCAGTTTTGCAATACAGCTCCACAAATTTTATGCTTCCATACGCAACCCAAAATCATACAAGCTAATCTCATTTATTTTTTGCTCGCTTATCATTTTTCTTCCTTTCTTCGGATCACTGTTTCAATTTCTCTTTTGTAGCTAAGTAAAGTTGAAAACAATAAAGTTTAATAACTTTTAGTACTGCTATCCAAACCGCCATAAATCGTGATAGTATGACATAAAGAAGGCCCAGATCGGAAACTACTAAAATAGCGGGACTCGGTCGCGAACATGTATTGAAATCTTACTGACCCAAATTCGGGCTGGAAGATTGTAATGATAAAGGATTTAAATGAGGGAGGAAGGATGGGAAGGGAGATGGTTAAGAGGTCTAAAACCTTAAGAAGCAGTGACTGGATTTTTTGGTAGGAAGGAACAGATGCACGAAAAATAAAGTACCACAGTCATTACAATTTCACAGTCACAAAAGAACAGAACAGTTGTTCGTGAAGTACCACATGCCTAAAAAATATCAGACCAAGGGTAAAATTTTATCTGGAAAAGAGATTTTTTAAATTTTTGCTCAAAACCAAAGTACTCGTTATATCCTGCAGGTGGGGA